CTGCTGAATGAGGTAAACGCAGGGTCCCTCCGAGTGGGTGGGAGAGACCCATTACAAGCTATGAAGAGGGCCCGCATTTGGGGCAGACTGCAGTGATGGGGAGGGAAGGCAGAACGGCATTGAGGCTAAGGGTGGAAGAGGGGGTAAGAAAGAAGGCAGCAGCCAGAGCTGGCAGCTTCTAAGCACTGGGCCTGGGAGGGGAGGGGAAGACTGACTGGGGAGCTAGTAAAGGGGGTAGAAAAGAGAACTGAGAGAGGAGGGCTCTGCCAAACTCCCCTGTGCCCCACTTTGGGTTACCTGGGGGCAGCCGAGCAGCTAGAATGCTAGGGTCCAGATCTTGGCTTGGTCCAGATCTTAAAGACTTGCTGTGGATGAAGACTTCTCAGAGGTCCTAGCTCTTGCCTCAGTTTTCCCCCATTCAGTGCTCAGGGACTAGGATCTGCTCAGGTTCCTAGTGCACTTACAGGATAAGCCAGAATGTACTTTAGAGGGTCCCAAGAACTCCAACTCCCAAACCTGGTTATTTGGGCTTTCCTCCTATGTCCTGCTTCCTTGCCTAGAGTATCTAATAGCTTCCAGTCTAACGGCTCTTTCCTATTTAGTGAAGGGCAGAAGGAATCCTCTCCTGGAATCCTCTCCTGCCCACCTCTCCTCAGCTCTCTCACCTTATGTTCAGTCATGGAAAAGAAAAGGGATTAGGGGACACATGGACACTGACAAGTACATGTCTTGTTTACAGGACAGGAAGTCACTAGGTTGTCCTGAGAACCGGAGTAGGCAGGTGTGGGTGAGGTGAGAAGTGGCAGGGGGCATTGAGTAGCAACTCAGATAGGGGAAAGAGAAAGAGGCTCTGAGGCTCTGCAAGACCCAGGGGATGGACCCAGGTATGAGGAACCTGAACCTATCTCCTGGGGGTGGTTGGCATGGCAACTCATGCTTCAGGAGCAGACTCAGACACTGTTCCAGATGGGGATGAAGACAACAAGGTGTGTGAGGAAGAAATGAGGCTGATGGCAGGTCCACCGTCACCTACAGACCCCAGGACCTGCTGGTGGTGGGGAGTCCCAAAAGGAGAGGCCAGGAGAGTAGAATTAGGGATGGAAACAAAAGCAGATGCCTCAGCAGCTATCCTCTCCATTAGAGTTATCTCCCTGGAGAGAGCACCTTGAGAGTTGTATTCTTTCACACCTCAATCCTCCTTTCTGTCCCTCTGGAAGAAGAGAAGGAATTGAAGAGGCAGAGAGTAAAAGAGGGTAGGAATACTGAGGAGCTGGGAGAAGGCACAAAAGTGAGAAGACAATGTGTCTGGGAACTTTCAATATATAACCAACCCCCAAATGATGCTAGACTCAGGAGAGGGAACTGTGAAAGCAAACCGCCTTTCCCAGTAGTGATTGGTCCCCTTAGCCAATAGAGGCTCTGACAAAATTGCCAAATCCAGCAGGAGGAAGAGGCTTGTCAGGGCTGAACTGCACCACTTACAGGACTAAACAGACTAAAGGCAGACTAAAGACGGTTTTAAGATTAGGCCCCTTCTCTTTCTTTTTCTTGCTAAGGGAACATGAACAAGTGATATAAGTGAGAAGCCAGTTGGTTTGGGTGGTCTTTCTCTCCCGTGAACAGTGCTTTCTCCAATAGATCTCTGGTCCTTCTCTCCCATGAATAGTGCTTTCTCTAATAGAGCTCATTAAACCCTGTCAGTTTTGGATTTTTAATTCTCCTGTAGCCCAGGAAGGTAAAAGGACAAGCAGATTCCCGATTCACCCTCCTGGGGGTTAGAAACTGGGAATGGAGAAGGACTGAACTCAGAAGCCTTCCTCTGTCCATCTCACATCCCCCTCTAGGTGGGAGGTTGGGTAGGGGGCAGGCAGGCAATCAAAATGCAAAGGAAAACTTTCGCTAAGGAGATGGAAAAAGGAGGGAGCTCAAGTGGGTGGACATTCTGGGAAATTCGCTCAAAATAAGGGCTGCTGCTCTGTCTCTAACCTCAAATTTCAGTGCTCTTCTGAAGGAGGACAGGTGCAAAGTGAGTGGTACAGGTGCCTCCAACCAGGATCCCGGGCACCCCGCCCCCATCCTTTTGCTGAGGAAATCTGACCTTAAACTAGTGACTCTGGGGAGACTTGCCCTTCCCCTTTCCTACTGCATTGGGGTCAGGATCCTACCTTCTGACCCAGCCACAACAATCCCCCTACCTCCACCCTCTGGTTCCTTTCCTGCTCTTTTAGACTCACCTAAAACAGCCCAGTTCTCATGGATGCCTTGCCAATGCCTGGCACAGTTCTTGGCAAGGAAGTGAGGAAGGGAACCCCGACCCTGGCCAGACTAGGATGAAATCTGCCTGCGCAACAGGCGGCGGGAACCAAAACCTCCCCTTTTGCACCGGTTAGGCGACGCGGCTCTTTACTGCAGGCTCCCAGCACTGAGAGGGTCGAGCACCAGGTGGAGCGGGGGCTACTTTCACGGCATTGGCTTGAGGTCGCCAAATCCATTCCTCCCTAGTACCAATGAGGGGTTCGCTTTTGGAGTCTCTGGGATCACCAGGGCTCAGACACGCCGCCCGCTCACCTGGGGCCCTTCCCCCTTCTGCCGCCCGCCCCCATCCCGCCTCTTCTGTCTCCCCCAGTCTCTCCATTTTCCTGTCTCCCCCCATCCTCCTTCTGCCCGTATCTCTCCTTTCTCTCTCTCTCTCTCTCTCCTACCTCCCCGTAACCTGCGCCCGCTCCTTTCTCGGTTCTGGTCTCGTCTCCCTCCGGCTCTCCGCGGCCCCTCCCCTCCCCCGCTCCAGCCCTTTGTTTCCCGGCGGAGTATTTCCTGGGTTGCCGAGCGTCTCTGTCCCCGCATCTCTTCTCGCCCCGCCTCCTCCCAGCCTAGATCCGCCCGTCCGCAGTCTCTCCTCCCCTTCTTCCCCGCCGCCCCTCTGGCCTGTAGGTGCTGGGGCACCCACCTTCTACCCAGCTCCCGTCCGCTACCCTCTCCCAGCCGGGTCTCGGGCTCCCGGGGTGGCCGCCGCCCCGCCCTCTCCCAGAGAGGGGGGGTCAGGTGGGCGGGCACTATTGTTGTAGGAGCCGGCGCCAGATTCCTCAGCCGCGCTCGGGGTGGGACTGGCAGGCTTTGGGGGGGTGGGACGGGGGGAGCGGTGATTTGAGCTCAGAGCAGCTGGTCTTCGCGGCTCGGTCCCTCCTTCGCGCTCCTTCGCTGTGCGCCGCCACCCGCAGGGCTGCGGGGCTCTGTGGCATCTCTCGGGCGCGGCCCGCCGTCCTCGCCCCTGCCTCCGGGCCGCCCCTGCCTCGGGGCCGCTCCCGCCCCCGGCGCTGCTCGCTTCCCCCCACTCGGACTCCCCCATGTATGACGACTCCTACGTGCCCGGGTTTGAGGACTCGGAGGCGGTGAGTGCCCACGGTGAGGGTGGGGGTGGGGGTGGGGAAGTGGGATGATACCTCCTCTGCTTCACCCAATTCAGGACTTCGAAAAAACGCCTCAGTGGCGGGGCAGGGCCTATGACGGGGGAGCTCCAGGGAAGTGAGGAGATGGATTTTCGTGCCAAGGGCTACTCTGTACCCCAGTCGTAGACCAAGAGGCATTGGGTGTGTGTATTAGGAGGAAGTGTTGGGGGGAGGCCTGAGCAGGTGGCTCCAGAGCCCAGGACAGAGGGGTAGAGGGAAGAAGGGCTGGAGGAAAAGGGTACGGGGGCTTTCTTTAGAAAGGGCACACAACATGTCTGGAGTTTCCACAGGTGGATTATGGGGTCTGAATACAACCCCTACAGTAGATGAGTTTCTTGGGGAGGGGGACAAGCCAGACCTCCTGTGCCTCCAGTAAAGGACAAATTTAGGGAGCCTGGGAGAACACCAGAGAATTGGGTACCAGCCTCTTCAGGCAGAAAGATCACAAAACTTGAAGACCTCCATTATTCCCTTCCCCGTCCATCCTAAGCTTGCCTTATTTCCTCATCCTGCCTCTAGCCCAGCTTCTCTCCCAGGCTGGAAACTGGGCACCCAGCACATGGGTGAGCCAGCTGACTGAGTCCCATCCATTCCACGCCTCCGGCTGAGGCGGCCTCAGAGCAGCAGGCATCCGGAGCTCCTGCTCAGCATGGAGGACCTGGAGGTGAAGACAGAGGAGCTGAGGGCCTGGGGATGGAGAGGAAGCTCTTTGCTCAGAGAACCAGGCAACCAATAAATATTTAATTCTCCTCTTTGCTTTTATCTCCTGACCCACTGAGACAAATCAGCTCATTAGGCAGTGATTCCCGGAGCTCAGAGAGCAGGGAGAGTGCCTGGAAAGATGGGGCAAAGATGGGGAGCAGCTTCTCAGTGTCTTCTCTCAAACATCCTGCAAGAAGGCCTCCTTAGGAAAGGACCACTAGACAGATGGCTTGGAAGGGGTCCCTGACAGGCGTGGAGGGTAGAGCACTTGAAAGTGGAGTGTTTGCGTCTTCTCCCACATCTTGCTGCCAAGCCCAGGATAGATGAGTTCTAGGGTTCAGAATAAGCAGCTATCAGTCCTTTTCTGGGACTGGGCTCCTGCTGGGCCAAATTCCCCATTGGGCCTTCGGGGCTAATTACATGGCAGATGATTTTCAAGGCTCTGGTGGACACCTCTTTCTGACAGTTGAAGGGACAGCTGGCATGGCCCAGGGTGTCAAGGTGAGCTTGAAAACAAATCTTCCTGCAGGGCTGGAGGGCCCTAGAAGGTTCTTCCCATCCCTGGAGAAAAGGCAAGAGCTGTCGTCGCAAGGGAAAGATTGACACGTGGATGGTGTTGGGGCAGCCTGCTAACCCATCGCTCACTGCGCACCCCTCTCTGGTCCCTGGATCACCCTCCCCCACTTCCCTTTCTCTTGCCTGGCTCCTTGCTCTCCCTGAGGCCCCCTCTGAAGCAGTAGGAGGGAAATCAGGCTCTAAATAAATCCACGGGCTCATCTCCCTCCTCTCCTTCCCCCGTGCCAGGCAAGAGTAGAGCTGCAGTCTGCCCACACACTCACCAGGCAAGGGGGGCACCATGAGGGCACTGTGCCAACTCCTGGCAGCTCCAAAGTACTGAGCCTCTGGCTGTTCTGGCATAATGCGGTGGGAGAGGCAAGACCCCAGAGTAGGCTTGGCAGGGCAGCACTGGTCTTCCCAAATGATACCAGAGCATGAGAGATGGGTGAGCTCTGAGAACTTAGGAATGATGGAGGAGGGGTTCCAGTATGAGCCCGACTCATTAAACATTTAGGGAGAGATCCTATCATTCCCATTCTAGGGTGAGAGTCCAGGAAACCCAGATACCCCAGGTAGGGACATTAAGATGACAAAATTAGGCTGAAAGCCTGGGGAGCGGAGAGTAAAGGCCAGACTTCTCCCCCAGCATAGGTCTGGGCATCCAGGAAGCATCTGATGGATACTTAGCAAAATGGTGGTCATCCTGCTCTGCTACCTGCCTCCTGGCCTGTTGGCCCCTATTCTTTTCAATCAGCCACCTCCCACAGAGGTATTTCCTGTATCTAAGACCCCTGGAAAGAGGTCCCACACTCTACTGACAGTGCAAAGGTTCTTTCTGGGACTCAGCCACTCTTTAGCCAACTGCCAAGCCAGCCTTATTTTGTTCTCAAGAGAGAAAAGGAATAGCAGGTAGACTCCACTCCTTTATCAAATAAGAGACTTTTCCTTGTGCTGTTTCATGCCTTCGGTCTACCACAGACATTGACTTTAGCTTAGGCTCTAGGGCCTGGGCTGATATCAAGCTGACCAACCCTGTTGCCCATTGTGGGGCTGAAGCAGAGGGCATGGCGGACAGCAAGTGTGTGTTTGCCTTCTCCACTAGGAGTCTGGCCTCTGCTGCCTTCTGTAGGTGATCATGCACTGTAAGGCTTGAAGTAATGTTCCTCAGCCTAAAATATCATAAAACCCCTTCCACGCACATGTGCTCGCTCTCTCTCTCTCTCTCCCTCTCTCCATCTCTCTCTCTCTCTCTATTCCCCTTCCCCCCACCCCACGTGAAGCCCTTATCTAGGCTCCTACCTTATCTCTGCCAACTGTACCTCAGAATGGATGGGAATACCACTTCAGGCTTCTGATCATAAAGAGGGAAAACAGGCAGAAAACAAAAGATTCCCTTTTCCCTAGACTTCAGGGGGAAACCCAGACATCCTGACTTCTATCTTCCTATCCTAAGGTCCAGCTTCCCCTACTCATTTGTGCATCTTCCTCACAACCTTGAATGTGAGCTCTGCAGCCCTCTAAATGCACCCTCATTGTCCAAAGACCTTCCAGGACTCAGACACTGTCCTGGCTAAGGTTACCAAAGACCCCCTCCCTGCATCTCCAGAATACTGCTCCTCTGGCTGGTTTGTCTGGCACCAACATAGCCTTCCTCCAGGGCTGATCTCCCCTCGGGGGAGGGGGAGGGAGATGTAGGCCAGGTGGTGGGCATGGCCCAGCCTTACAGACCCAGGGAGATAGCTTTGTGTTGCCTTCTCAGTCTGTGTCTTGTTTGCCGCCCACACCTGGCCAGTTGCCCCAGCAGGTGTGAGAGGAAAGAAAGTGGGGGTGGGGAGAGTAGAAAGGAAGTAACTTCCAAGAGTCGGCATCTCTGTGTCCTCTTCAACCTGGAAGAGTAGGGACTGGGGGAGATGAGATTTATGGGGTGGATGTCTGTATCTTGACACTCAGGACCAGTGCCATACCAGCCAGCATCTTTTGACTGTTCCTAGCTGGCTATACTCCTGCCAGGCATTTTGAAGGGATAATGTCTAGGCTACTTTGCAGGCTGATGTGAACAAGAAGGCTGAGCTGAGTCGCCTGGATTCAGAATCATCTTCAATATATCATCTTTAGTACATCTCCCTTCCCTCTGCCTCAGAGGATGTGGTAGAGGGGAGAATAGGGAGGAAGGAGGGAAGTGAAAGCTCTATTCAAAGCTGCGGTATTAATAGGCTTGGGGGGAGGGGCCCAGATCTTAGCACATGGATTGGGTGGCTTTCCTACAGTCCCAGAGTCACTGGGGCCCTTCTCAGGGAAATTGGAGGGACCACTGGGGCCCAGCCACCCCTGTGGACATGAAGAGGCTGGGGTTCATGGATGCGCTGCTATAGGGTTCAGAGGGTGCCTCTCTATGCCCCTCCCACCTGAGCCCAGGGGTCACAGCCTCTCCCCCATGCCAGGGTTCAGCCGACTCCTATACCAGCCGCCCATCTCTGGACTCAGACGTCTCCCTGGAAGAAGACCGGGAGAGTGCCCGACGTGAAGTGGAGAGCCAGGCTCAGCAGCAGCTTGAGAGGGCCAAGGTATCCTCTTGCTGTAGGCGAGGGGCAAAACAGGCCAGGCTGGGTGGAAACTTGTTCTCTGTCCTGAGTCCTGAGGGGTCAATGGGCAGAATGTACGTGAATGTGAAAGATTGTGTGTGTGTGATGGGTGGACGATGGGACACTGAAACTGGAAGGGGCACTCTGAGGCTCCTCTCACTGGCACTGATGGCCTAATTCTCCAGCACAAACCTGTGGCATTTGCTGTGAGGACCAATGTCAGCTACTGTGGCGTACTGGATGAGGAGTGCCCAGTCCAGGGCTCTGGAGTCAACTTTGAGGCCAAAGATTTTCTGCACATTAAAGAGGTGACCACCCCCTGTCCCCACCAATTAAAAGCCACTTAATTTCCCTGTTTTTGCCCGGTCCCCTGCCTCTTACTTTAGTCCTCAGTCTATAAATAAGTCCCCAAACTCTTCATCTCTTATCTTTAACACACCCTTACATCCCTCATATCCAAGACCAAATCCCTAGGGTCTCCTTCTGAGGCCTGGCTTGGGCCTGTCATCATATGTGTAAAGTGAGCAGTTAGATTAGCTGCCCCTTAGGTCCCCTGTGACAGCTGTGATTCTTCATACTGAAATCTTGGAGGTCTCAAATCTGGCTACCCTTCCCTCTGGTGCCTTCTGCCCCCTCCACTTGTGTGTTGCCTTCGTCAGACCAACTCTGTGAATACCACCCTGGCTCCTTCACATTGGAGAGCTGGGGTTGAAGCCAGGGCGGCCTCCTCTCACTGCTCCTTCCCACTCCACCCTGCCCCCAGAAGTACAGCAATGACTGGTGGATCGGGAGGCTAGTGAAAGAGGGCGGGGACATTGCCTTCATCCCCAGCCCCCAGCGCCTGGAGAGCATCCGGCTCAAGCAGGAGCAGAAGGCCAGGTGAGAGCAGGGCTGTGACTCAATAACCCCGCCTCCCACCTCCACCCTGCCCCCCTGCCCACGTGTGCACTCTACCCGAAGTCCATTTCACTGTACATGCACGCGTATCTCACTCCCCCCAAATGTGCACATTCATACCCAGCTATATACATTTACACTACACAAATATACACACATACACCAATGCATGTGTCACAAACATACCTTCTTCACTACCTAAACTATAAGAAAGTATTTACAACTGTTAAATGACATATAGAACACACAAACACAAAGATGCTTACTGATTGCCCTTTCTGCTCTCAGGAGATCCGGAAACCCCTCCAGCCTGAGTGACATTGGCAACCGGCGCTCCCCTCCTCCATCCCTAGGTAGCCTTCCCCCAACCCACTTGTCTTGGGTAGGTGGGTCACTAAGACACAGGGGCAAAGAGATTCTCCCCAGGTGAACTATGTGGGAAGGGGTTGGTGCGGGGCTAGAAGAGCTGGGAGAAGCCCAGTGTCTCCCCTGGGGAAGGGAATACATGCCCCCCAGGGCCTTTTCCCCCTTCACAACGTTAATCTTTTATTTCCTTTTCCAAAAAGCCAAGCAGAAGCAAAAGCAGGTGAGTCAAGGAAGGGACCTGGGCTGGGGGGCTCTTGGCTCATGACTGCTGGGTTAGGCTTCTGGGCAGCAGAACAGAGAGGGAAGGGATCCCAGAACTTCTCAATCTGCCCCAGTCAGGCATAGGGCAGGCCACAGAGCCATGGCTTTACCTGACCTAAGGTCAATTCTGCAGGCAGAACATGTACCCCCATATGATGTGGTGCCCTCTATGCGGCCTGTGGTGTTGGTGGGACCCTCTCTGAAAGGTTATGAGGTAAGAGGAAGTCCCTGACCCAAAGAGTCACTTTTGCCAAGCCTGCATGGGAAGACCCCAAGAACCGTGGGAGGGTGTGTTCCCTACCTCACCATCAAGGTCTGTGTGTGGAGGGGGTGGGCTCCATGGCCATGACTGGGGATGCTGCCCCTCTCCAAGGGGGCCCTCAGTCAGATCCATGTCTTTCCCCCCACCTCTCCCACCCAGGTCACAGACATGATGCAGAAGGCTCTCTTTGACTTCCTCAAACATAGGTTTGATGGCAGGTAAGCTGCCCTGACCCGGAGTGGCATGAGAACTAGGGAGAAGATCATTGCCTCCGTCTAGATGTCTGTAGCAAGATCTTCTGTAAAGGGAAAGTTAGGAGTAAGCAGGGGCCTAGCACTTGAAATTTAGAAGTGAGCTGTAATTCTCCATCCCCGCCCCAGGATCTCCATCACCCGAGTCACAGCTGACCTCTCACTAGCAAAGCGATCTGTACTCAACAATCCTGGCAAGAGGACCATCATCGAGCGTTCCTCTGCCCGCTCCAGCATTGGTGAGGAGTCCCCAGCTCCTGCTTCTCCGCCCACTCAGGCCTTACCGAGAACCTTCCTCCTACCTTTCTCTTCCCCCTTTCTCTACCTGCCCCAGGATTTGCAAGAACTCACCGCAATGTCCTCAATTCCCTGTTCCTCTGCCTGCTCAGGCCTTGATGAACACACTCTCCTACCAATTCCTTCTCTTTCACCATTGGGGAGCCCCCCTTCCCCGAGCCCTGTTGGAGGAAGAAGTGGGCGGAGCCACTGGTGAGCACTGTGGCTCACTCACTCCCTCCATAGCTGAAGTACAGAGTGAGATCGAGCGCATATTCGAGCTGGCCAAGTCCCTGCAGCTGGTCGTGTTGGATGCTGACACCATCAACCACCCAGCACAGCTGGCCAAGACCTCACTGGCCCCCATCATTGTCTTCGTCAAAGTATCTTCACCAAAGGTTAGTCAGCAGCTGAGATGGAGGAGGCCCCCGGAGCTGCAGTGCTAGAATGTGCTCCTCTCGGCTTGGTCCTTGTCCCAAGGCTCCTGAATTCCCTTTCCTGATGGTAGATCACAAGTGGGGGACATGCCCAGTTCTTTCTAGGCCCAGCTCTGCTCGGGACTCCCAGAGACTTCAGGCCTTGTTCTGCCCTCTTTCCTCTCAGGTACTCCAGCGTCTCATCCGCTCCCGTGGGAAGTCACAGATGAAACACCTGACTGTACAGATGATGGCATATGATAAGCTGGTTCAGTGCCCACCAGTGAGTGCCTGGGGCAGCTACTCCTATGCCTACTCTTGCTTTTCCAGGACTGGGGGAGTGACGGAGATGGGTGGGAGGCTGCTGCTAAGAGGAAGAAAACATTCTCCCTTCCTCTTCCCTCCCCAGGAGTCATTTGATGTGATTCTGGATGAGAACCAGCTGGAGGATGCCTGTGAGCACCTGGCTGAATACCTAGAGGTTTACTGGCGGGCTACACACCACCCAGCCCCTGGCCCTGGACTTCTGGGCCCTCCAAGTGCCATCCCTGGACTTCAGGTAACCATTTCCAGTGGGTACTGATGCTCAGGCTAAGCCAGCCAAAATAATGCCCCGTCCCCGCACAAAGGATCATCCTTGGCCTCATTTGAAGGCCAAAGGATCAGAGAACTCAGATCTGCTGTACAGAGCTAGAGCAGATGGATGAAGGAACTTCCTGATGAGGGGGAATAAATCAATGAAATGGGTAATCAGAAGTTACTTTTTTAGGGCTCAAAAGAAAGTCTCTCATACCTTTCTCTGGTCTGTCTTGATGGCAGAGCCTGAATTTTGCAGGAGTCAAAAGCTCCAGTTTTCTGTACCTGAAGAGAAACAGTGTTCCAATATGCTTCCCTTCTTTACATTGTTTCCTCTACCCAGGGACTGAGAGTTGATGGGGAACAATCCCCCATCCTAGTAGAGGTGGGAGGGAGGCTGAGGTGAGGTCTGCACTTCCTCACTTAGAGCTGTTGTGTTACCCCCAGAACCAGCAGCTGCTGGGAGAGCGTGGCGAGGAGCACTCGCCCCTCGAGCGGGACAGCTTGATGCCCTCCGATGAGGCCAGCGAGAGCTCCCGCCAAGCCTGGACAGGATCCTCGCAGCGTAGCTCCCACCACCTGGAGGAGGACTATGCAGATGCCTACCAGGACCTGTACCAGCCTCACCGCCAACACACCTCGGGGCTGCCTAGTGCTAATGGGCATGACCCACAAGACCGACTCCTCGCCCAGGACTCGGAGCACAACCATAATGACCGGAACTGGCAGCGCAACCGGCCCTGGCCCAAGGATAGCTACTGACAGCCTCCTGTCTTACCCTGGCAGGCGCAGGCACAGCTGGCTGGGACTTCCACTCTAGGCAGGTTGGCGTTAGACTGGCATTAGGCTGGCACTAGGCTCAGCCCCCACAACCCCCTGCCCAGCCTCAGCTCGAGGTCTGCCTGTGGTCCCAAGGTTCTAGGAGAAGCAGGGGGCCCCCTCACCTCCTGGGCAGTGACCCCCTAGGCTCCCATTCCAGGTACTAGCTGCGTGTGCTGCACCCCTGGCACCTTCCTCTCCTCCTGCACAAGAAGCTGCCCCACTGGGCAGTGCCCTCAGGCCAGGATCCCCTTAGTAGGGGCTTTCCCACCAGACTCAGGGAAGGGATGCCCCCTCAAAGTGGCAAGAGGATAGGGTGTGGGCGACATGGCATGAGGAAGAAACAAGGTCCCTGAGGAGACACAAGTCCTGATAGCCAAAGGACTCAGGGTTTGTGCTTTGGGGTCTGAGGGCCTCCACTCACCTCACTGCCACACACTAGAAATGACAATCAAAGCCCAACAGAGTGGCACTCCCATCCGTCAGCTGGGTGGGGCATCCACAAACAAGGCTGGAATAGCAGGCCAGCTGAAACTCTGGAAGAGAAGGGCTCTCCTTACCCTGTCAGGAAGCTTCATAATAGCTGACAGGACCAGGGACCAGAAGCATGGTCAAGCCAAATGGTAGACAAGAGCCAACTTGGATTGGGGGCTTGGGAAGGGAGGACATGAATGTCTGGAACAACTTTGGGGGCCTCCTTGCCCCACTCATCCTTTTGCTCTTGCATCCTTTCATTTCTGTTTTTGGCCCTCAGGCCTCCTGGGGGATATGGGCCCCAAACTTTATTCCCTGATTTCATAGCTGCTGCTTAAGTTAGGGTTAGATGAGGAGAGAGAGGACACAGTGGACAGCCCCCAGAGGCCCTGTCTACCCAGCTACCCTTGCCTTACGGCTCTAGTGTGTGATCTACAGAGCATGCTCCACAGGACCCTGCCCCACCTCACTGTCATCACTAATAAACATCATGCACAGTCCCTCAGGCTCCTGTTCTGTCTGCTCAGGTGCCAGTTCCTCACTGAGGCCCAAGTCTGGAGGAGGCAAAGAAGTACTCTGGCCTCCTTTCTCTCACAAAGGACCCACTAGGTGGAAAGAAAAAAGACAGGCCGGGGAAGGAACTATATTCCCAGGCAGCCCCACACCTGCCCTCTCATGCCCAGGTGCCTGGAGGGAAACATCCAGCAGCACAGAAAGGACTTGGTGGGAGGTGGGGAAGAGGCTGAGTCACAGCCTTACACTGTCCCTGCCTTAGGCCAAAAGGCTCTCGAAGTAGCTGCAACTTAAAACTCCATGTACTGGCCCAGAAATTTTAGGGTTAAAGAAGAACATGTGAATAAGAGCATTATTGGGGAAGGACCCAGGCCCTGCAGCCCTCTCCCCACAACCTAACTCAGCTGGGCCTAGATCATCACTCCTTGATGCTTCCTTCTGGTGCCCATCTCTATCTCCCCATGAGCAGCAGCCTCAGCAACTGGGGAGCCTGGAGCTGGGTGTCAGGCACACAGCATCAGATTGTGAGAGTGGCCCTGATTGTGCCTCACCTGCCAATTTCACAAGTGCTTTCCTTTCTCACCCTGCACAAAGCTCCCTAGAGGGTTTCTAGGCCAGAGCTATAAGTTATATGAAGCCAGAGCAGGGAGGGAAGCTGTCAATAGCTTTTTCTGCTCCTAAGTGCCTCCTGTCAAGACTTAGACTATCAATTGAGATCGTAGACTCTGCTCTAGATGTGATTTTCTTTCATCTCACAAGTATGTCTTCTGTGGTACCAGGGAGAACCTGGGAGTTTAGCTAGAACTATACACAGCCTTAATATTCCTGAATTTATTCTCAGAACATACAAACTTTTTTCAGAGAATAGAAAACAGGAATTTTACTCAGTGACTTCAAGACACAGCCAGCTCACCCTGTCTCAAATCTACTAAAAAAAACTCCCTGGGTGAGGGATGCCTAGAGTGCACAGCACCCCTTGGCACAGGGGCCGTGCACAGCTCTAAACAAGGCTCTCAACTTGTTTTATAATCCAAAAGGGCAAACACTATCAAAATGACATTAAGAGTCCAAGGTCCATAATCCTCACAGTGCCAGATCCCCTGGGTCATCTAGGGCAATGATGTTGCTGCAGCTTAGGCAGTCAAGTCGGTGCCGAAGAAGTCATCTTCCAGCAGCCAGATTTCTGTTCATCCTGAGAGACAATGCCAATGGCTGCCCCCATAACTGGCAAGAGCTGAGGGCCCAATGCAATCCCAGAGGCCGCCAGGGGGCAGAGCTGGGCCAAAATTGATGGTAATTTGTTCTCCTGGCCTCCTGTAGCAGCTTCCTCTCCTTTTGCAGTCCCACACTCAGGCCTTCAAACCTGAGGGTCTAGGCCAGGGAGTCTGATTGTTAGCTAAGCCCCCAGAAGACAAAAGAGAAGGTCCTGAAGAACAGGCTTCAGAGCCTGCCTTTAAATCTGTGAGAAGAGTCCTCTGTCAGGCAAAGATGGTCTCTTCTCTGCGCTTCTTGGTAAGGATGGTGCCTGGCTTGTGCTGGGCATCTGGGTGGTTGGCTAGTTCTGGGGGGCAGGAGGACACTGGGCTTTCCAGGATGGCTTGTTTCAGCTCATAGAACACAGCAGAGTCCTCTTTGGTGAGGAAGGTGATAGCCACGCCACTCTTGCCTGCTCTTCCTGTGCGGCCAATGCGGTGGATATAATCTGGGGAGTGAAACGGTGGGAAAGGAATGTCACTCAGGGCACCAGGCCAGATGCCCTGGTGAGCAGTGTCTGAAGCCTTTGCTTCTAAATGCATCATCCTCCCCACACCTCCATTCAGTGAACAGAGCTCATGCTTCCTGGACCTGCAGAGCCCACAGTGCTCTTCTCAAGACCACTACTTATGGGGTAACCCTACCACACTACTTATGGGGTAACCCTACCACACTAAGACCAAGATGGGCTCAGCTCTGTCTTCTCCATCCCAAAGACAAGAGTGCTATCTCAGGTGCTGGGACAACACACTCACATGAGATAAAGAGTAGGAGCCCTTCTCACTGGAACAAGCTACTGTAAGCTCAGAGTTGTGAGAGATGGCAGCAGCAGCCTCCTCAGTACTATACTTTGAGCAGAAAGAGACGGTCTCTCTTTACCCAAATTGAAGCTACTTTTCCTGCACTTACCTTCAATGTTTTTGGCCATATCGTAGTTGACCACCATTGACACATCTTGGATGTCAATACCACGACCTGCCACATCTGTAGCCACCAAAATATCCTTGGCCCCAGCCTTGAGGTTGGACAATGCAAACTCTCGCTGCTCCTGGCCTTTTCCACCATGAAGTGTACAAGCATTGTACTGTTGGGAGAATGGTGAAGTGAAGAAAGAGTAATGGGATCATGGAAAGACACAGATATTAAGAGGAGTGGGGACAGAAAAGGACGGTTGCAAAGAGCAGCAGGGTAGGAGGAGAAAGGGAAGCAGGCAGGAGAAAGAATGGGTGCAACTATAAGTAAGGAGACAACAGGTGAGCTGAAGAAAGGATGGGAGAGACCAGGGCAAGGTCAAAGGTAAAATTAGGGGTGAGATGTGGAGCCAGACAGATGAGTAGTCAAAAAGAGAATGAGGGTGAGAGATAAGAGGAGAAAGCAGGGGCCAAGAAGTTTAAGGAAGTTTAAGCACTGAGTGGAGTGGACACGCTCTTCCCCTCAAACACCCGTACAGGAGGAAAGGACACTGATCAACATCTCCCTCCCGACAGCACCAAACATACATAAACACAACAAACTTTGACCCATTCTGTTCCACATCCTCAAATCCTCCCAGGGTATGTGTCTCAAAACCTCTCCCTTGCCCCAGCCCACTTAGAGGAAGACTCAAGGGAGCTAGCTCTAACTGGCACTGCTGGAATGGACAATGTCATAGCAATCGACCCAGGCCTCCTTATCCCCATCAAACCTCCCTTTTCCTTCTGGCCCTGACTTGTTGAATACTGGAGAGGTTCAGAAAACAGCACCAAAGAGACTGGACTTTGCCCTCCCCTGCCAGACACACCCCCATCTTCTCCAGGGATTTGGCCAAAACATCACAGCCCTTCTTCTGGTTGACAAAGATGATGATGGGTGGATCAAAGCCTTGCTCCAAGATTGCCAGCAGCTTTTTCCTAGGGAGAAGTTTGGAGAAAAATGAGATGCCTACCACCCCTCATTCCAAGTAAAATGCCCAACCCTGATCTACAACACCAATTCCAGGCTCTTTGATGCCCATGGCACCCTGAATAAGAAAACAGCTTTTCAACCAGAACAATCCTCTCACACAGGAATCCAGCTACCAGTCACACAGGAAAAAAGCTCCTTCTCTATCCCATTTCCTCTGGCTCAGCTGCCTCCGTACCTCTTTTCTGACTCTGACATGAGGAAGACCTTCTGTTCCACACGTTCATGGGGCTTGCCTGCAGAGCCAATGTACACCACAGCAGGACGCCGAAGATAGCTCCGGGCCAGACGCTCCACAGCTGGGGGCATGGTGGCCGTGAACATGACTGTCTATGAAAACAGGAGGCTCAGCCTTGGGCCCAGGCAGACAGAGTCACATATCCTACCATTACCACAGGCAGCACAGTCCAGGTTGAAGAATCTAAAATAAGCCAATGTAAGCTTTAACAGCCGCCACCTTAGAAAATACTGTCTTTTGCCTTCCTACTTCTTTCTTCAGTACCTGTGCTTGACATCTTATGATGACAGGAAGGGCTAAAAGCGCTGCTAGCACCAATGGTGGGCAGCAACATGACTCTTTGGAATTTTTCCAGAGCAAAGCTAAATGACTACACTGCTAGGACCTTTGGAAAGCCGTACTTAGGCAGGCCTCACCATTCTGGAAACATGTACTCTGGGCCCACCTAGGGTAAAAAGGGCCCTAGAGCAGGTTTGGCAACTTGCCCCAGCCCAGGGAAGCAGCCTTACTTGGCGGTACTTATGTTTTCCTGACTCAAAGTTAGCCAACATCTTCTCAGGGTCTTCAGCCTCATCTGTGTCTGGCTTCTGGTTGCTGACAGGCATGTGTTCCAGGATCTTCTGGACGTCTGGCTCAAAGCCCATGTCAATCATCCTATCTGCCTCATCCAGAACGACGTAGGTACAGCGGCTCAGCACCAGGTAACGGTTCTCTAGCACATCAATCAGACGTCCCGGGGTAGCGATCACAATCTAGGGAGTACAGTGGAATTATATGTGGCCTCAGCAGCTACCTCTTTCTTCAACTTCCTGTCCACCCACTTGGACACTAGACCCCCAAAGCTAAAGAACTTAGCAACCCAACCTCCAGTTATGTTTTACAGTAAAGGCATGAAATCACTTGTTCCTATCCTGGGTTTTTTTTTTCTCCCAGAAATGAATCGGGCCTCTGAGTAAAATCCAGGGGTTAGACAGAGGAGGCAAAATAGCAGGAACTTTCTTGGATGAGAGACTAAAGGATACTGTGGAGGGGATTATATAAAGGGATTATACTAAGAAGTCTCTAAAAAAACTCAATTCTTACAGTAGCCTTATAAAAAACTCTCTTCTCCTATCCTTCTGAGAAGGAAACAACACACAAAGTCTATGACTTGATCTGGCAGAGTGACTAAGAAAACAGGTTTTGTATCTGAATTTCAGCTCTGTCCACTGCCAACTGTGTGTGACTTTGGATCACTTATTAACCTGAGCCCCAGCTTCATCTGTAAAATGGAGCTACCCCTACGTACTCTCATGTAGTTGTGAGAATTAATGATATGCATAGCACAATCCCTAGTAAGTTCTCAATAACAATAGCACATCGATATAAACCAGCCCTTTCTTCATCTAACTTCACATCTATGACAGAAACTAGAAACAGAGTCCCGAAACAATACAGCCTAAACAGCAGGCTGGTTGCTGGCCAGGTGAACAAACCTCACAACCCATGCGCAGCCTGAAGCCCTGGTCTTCTCTGGAGATGCCGCCAATGACAGCCACAGTGCGGATGCCTAGT